TTGCAAAGTTGGTTTGGGGGGCATAGGGGTTTCCAGATTCTGGGGTAACAAAGCCGGCCGTTGGTGACTGGGGGCTACCACCGGTCGCGGGTTTCCGAGGCAGGGGGCTTGGTTCTGCTGTAGATAACCGTGGACGGAAAAGCTGACGATGTTGGAGAGCAACCGCATCAGCCTCCGCCTTGCCATGGATCAGCTCGACGAATTCTGAAGCAAGAGCATGCTGGGCCACGCGCTTAGATGGATCCTTGTTTTGTTCCTCCATAATCTTAGCGATTTCGGGCAGCGGCAAGAAGGTGAACATCTTTAGGTAGCGCTCGACAACGTCATCCGGTGTGCGAACGAAGAACTGCCATCCATCAGTTGGGCCATGCTAGTTGTTGAGGTGATGCTTCATACCTGGTATAACTCGAAAGTGGAGGTCATGTCTTTGTCGAGCCAGACCGCATTCCCAGCTGACTTGCCAAACTTCTCGCCAGACGGAGCCGTGAGCAAGGGAGTTGTGATACCAATAGGCCTATCGAGTTCATTTTTAAAGTCGAGTCGTTCCTCAGGTTCGGTCTGGTTCTTGCCAATCGACTTCACAGCGTCCATGCCAAAGAGAATATTCCCGTATTGGTCCGAGCCGCCAACCTGAACCTGAACGCCCTTCTTGAAGAGTACCCACCAGTCCCATGCCTGCATTAGGGGGTAAGTAAACTCGGCAAAGGACATTCCATCTCCCTTGGACAGCCGGTTTTTGACCCTATGTTCATGTGAGCGTCACCCTGGCGAAAATTGGGGCAAGAGTGAACTTACGTATCCCGGCCCATCATAGGTCCGAGGCGGGTGTGAACGCCTAGGTCTCTAAGCAACTCTATGACAGGCATCGAATTCCACCAGGTGTTGTTGTTGACAAGGGCACGCCGCCAGTACTTATTGGTGTAGCCATGTCTTCGGCCATACACGTCAATGCTGTGGCCCAGCTTCTTAAGCTGCATATGCATGCTCGCCATGTTGGCTTTCCGAACGGATGAGTGAACTTGATCGCGGCTTTTTAGTCGTCCTGTTGGATCACCGAAGCGAGCGGTAGCGCCACCAAGCTGCGAGATATTAGCCATGCTCCGTTATTACCCATCCATGCGCATATGACTGACCAGAAATGTGACCGGCAAGCCCCAGACGTAGCCCCAAGCCAAAATCATAAAAGGCAGCATATGACCAACGTGTAAAGACGGGGCGGTAGGATCCACGCCAGCGTACATGCCAACTCGCCGTTGCGTGAAGAGACGGTCTAATGTTTCTCGTTCTCTGCATTTGATGAGAGGGTCCAATTAGCCAACCACCGTCATTTTCAGTTAATATATGTATGTTATTTTGAAATCACCTACCCAACAACATCGTGCAAAAGTCCCCGCTCCTCAAGGTGTTGTGCAAAGCTCTTCCTCTTTCCTGCTTCAATCTCGTCCGCAAAGTCACTCCATTCCTTTTTGGCCTCCAGCTGTTTCTGCACATACTTCCGCGAGATCCAACGTCTTTGATCCGATGCAATTTGGAAGGCTGGACATCTAAGCATAGGGCGAATGCTGCTGGAGGGCGACTGGTTCATCCGCAACGCTTCTGCGGTCCGCGCATAGTTGCGAGCGCCGCATAATGTTTTCTGTGGTAAACTCTTCGGGCAATGAAGGCGTACCGCGCGCGGCAGAGCCCCTGTGTATGGCCTCATGATACCAGATAACAGACAAGTCAACCAATGGCTGCTTGTGACTGACTGGCTATGGTATTGCGCGAGAATGGCAGATCACTCAACTGGAAAATTACCTCCGATAAGAAGCCGATCAGTTGCGCCGCGACGGAGAATTGTTGACGCGGAGCTCATTGCCCCCTACCGCCATATACACCGCCTAGATTGGCAGAACCTCGCCCGAAATACCCGGAGCTAAGCGGAGTTAAGCCACACGCTCCTGCAGTTATTTGGTTGTCGACTATTTAAAATAAGCAACTACATCCTAATTCCTTACCTTTCTGGCCTCTCATGCAGCTCAGTTTCCAGCTTTGCCTTTGCCAACCAGGGCAATTACTTCAAATACGCTGTCATATACTGCTCCAGCGCAAGTGATCATGAGCATATTTCATAATGCACCGGCATTCCGATATATATTTTGACAGCTACTATGTCACCCATCACAAAAAAATTACCGAACCCCACAAACTGTACAGCACCAGGGCTACTAAGAAGGCCTGAGGACGTTATCATGAATTGTTACATAATATGTTTATTCTCCCAAAATTGTGTGATACCCAACACTTAGATCAGTATGCAGCAGAGTGTTCCCAGGAAGCTTGCCCCGGAAAGTATTAGCTGCAGGTCCAAAATGCGGGGAACCGAAATGCCGAAGAACCAAAGCGCATGGGATTCACCTCGGCCGAGTTCGGGCGAGCTCACCCGGCCAGGTTATAACCTTCTGTGGTCGCTACATTCTCTCTTATGGCATAAAGGATTGTGGCACCTGGCTGGTTACTCTCCAAATGTCAACTGTGTAGTTGGCACATGTGTCTAGCCATGCCGCAACCTATGCGACAGACCCAGCGAGTCCCCCGAACATGCATGCAATGTGCTCGGAGAAAGATCAAATGCTCCAAGAAAATACCATGCGAAGAGTGCATCCGCCGCGGTGATACTGTTGCCTGCAAGCGCGAGATTGTCAGGGTCCATGGCAAGGTCACCGTGTGAGCCCACCGCATTCTTTTCTGTCTCAAGCCCAATTGCTGCTTGGTCCAGTAAACTGATTTTATGAAAAACATAGTGCAGTAGACGAGGAGATACGAGTCGATGATTCAGACGCAGAATCGAGCCTTGTGCGAGAGAACTCCAGTCTCAAAACTCGCATCAGGCAGCTAGAATCCGTACTCTCTCGGCCTGAAACGCTGAAACTTGAGGCGGATATCTTCCGGCTATCTCCTGCTGCAGGAAATCCACAATCTTCGGACAAGATTCTGAACGATTTTCAGAGTCTACCGTTTGGACTTTTGGTGGAAGCGTCACAAGTCCCCCGGAGCACAATTCATCCAAGGGACGACCACTTACTACTTGTATTACCAGATCGGCATTGGAGCGAAACGATTGTGCGGTTCTCTCTGGATCATTTCGGATGGGTTCATTGTGCTCTAGATGCTTCAGGATTTATGGTTGATCATTCTTCGTTCTGGGACCACCTAAGCCACAGCAGATTAGACAGCCCAAGGAACCATGCCTGGATTGCGGTGTATCTTAGTGTGTTGGCCGTAAGTTGTAAGTTCCCGTCAGGCTAGAGAAAGCTCAAGGCTCATTTTTCGATAGACAGGAGTATATTTCATGGGAGAGGACAAAATTTGCAAGGTCCGCTTTCTCCAAGAGTCGCTCCCTTCTTACAAGCCATCGCTCCTAAACAGAGTACCCACGGAGCTATGCCGTACCTGGTGCGAAGCCGCTCTGAAGGAGCTCAACTATGCCAACTACTTGAGCAAGCCCAGTATTTCGACTGTCCAGACACTGGTGATTTTGAATATCGTACACAAGAATCTTGGCGAGTCATGTCGCGAATATACTCTACACGGCCTTGCGGTCAATATTGCCCGCTTGATTGGAATTGATCGTCTCGGAGGACGTCACGAGCGACAAAATACCTCGCCAGTAAAAGACACAGGGCTCATTCGGAAAGATGAAAACGTTTATCGCAGGCTTTGGTGGACCTTGGTGATCTGTGACTGGTACGTCGTCTGCTCATTTTGTGTTGGATTTCACTAAGCTAAGCTCAGGATGACTGTATGGTCGCGTCCAATTTCCATACACCCGGACTCCTTCACAACCGTGCTAGAAACAGAAGATAACAAGGAAACTTCTCCCACCTTAGCTAGTGGCGAGAAAGTCCCATCCCCATATGAGTACCATAAAGCAATGGCCCAGCTCGCCGCCACCATGCAGAATCACGCCAGATCCATCAAAGAATGGACGACAGCAACTGTTCAAGCCTCCTTTGAGGAGCTCGACGCTGTCACTGCTTCTTTTCCACCCCACCTCTCCTACCCTGGGACCGATGAACCCATTCTTCAGATTAAACAAGGACCTGAATGGATCTACGTCCAACGCTACCTCATCTTCAATTGCTTAGACTGCTGGCACATAAACCTGTGCGTCGCTGTGATCCCCCAATTGCTCAGCAGTACCTCTACTACAGAAGACGATGTGCTGCAGAGCGGTATTTCATGCGCGAAAGCCATTCTGTCTCGGCGATACCATGATCCATGTCCCCATTTCCATAAGTTCTGGGCAACCACATGCTCCACTGTCACGGCTGCTATATTTCTGGCTCTGGATCTGATATGTTTCCGCCAGCATCGGTCATCTGCTGAAGTGGCTGAAGAAAAGGCATTGATTCTGTTCGGCATCTACCTCCTAGAGCGAACATGCACAGATACACGACACGACGCCTTAGTTGTTCTGCGCCGCCTTGTTGAGCTATCTGACGTTATACGATTGAGACAAGTTATCGACCAGAGGGTGTTCGTCCGGCTCATGAAGCTTGTCGCTTCTCCCAAACTATGGGCTTCATTTCCCGATACAGAGTTCACGTTGAGGTTTCTATTTGCGGACCCGTCGTCGACCGGAGAGGCGACCAAAGCGGTATCAGACAATGACGAGCAGATGCATAGCGCGGATCCTAGTCCCGCTACGTATGGGGATATACTACCGAACACTCTGAGTCGGTTTGCGACAATGGCCAGCGACGCAGGGGACGAATTCCCACTCGCAGATGATCTCTTTTCTTCTGAGCTCATTGACATGTCGCTCCCCTGGCTGGACCCTGGGTGTCTAATGACATTTCCAAGTGAGGTGTCCCTCTAATAGAATGAACTATAGGCTTAATATATGTTTACAGTCACCAATGAATCAGCACTTGTATATACTGCATCCAATCTCAAAGTCACATCAAATAGCTAGTCCAGACCAACAAACATTTACAAAACAATACTACGCAACCCAATCAAAACTCCGCAGTCCTCCCATCAACCGCATATTTCATCGTAACCTTCCTAATCCACCACCCGAAGACGAAAATTGGAATTCCCAACGCAGCCACAACACCGGCAATAATCGCACAAATATCAAAAGCACCCTGAAAACCCTGCTCGGTGATAAACTTCGTAACCCCAAACGAGATCCCAAAAGAGATAAACCCACGGATGGCGCAAATCAGAACCAGAATCGGCGCTGCCCGCTCCGCATAACTGTCCAGAGAATAAGTATACCCATTGAGGATAATTCCAATATAGGCAAAATATAACCCGCTGAAGGTAGTGGTGATTGCCCAGGGCGACCACTCCGTCGGATGAGATGCAGCACGGCCAAAGATGACGCATGAGATAAGCAGGACAATAATAGGCAGCAGCATAGGGATAAGTCGAACCTCAGACTCAACGGTGCCGTTCGCTCGACGCCTTGCGACCAATTTATATAGCTGATCGCCGCCGTAGCCTAGCACGGGAACCATTATCATTGCGACCACGATTTGTCCACCCTGGACTAGGCCTAGGCTTGTGGTTGGGTAGTTGTATGGAGGGGCGCCGAGGACAGAGGCGTACTCTGTCACTCCGATAACGTAGATTCCGAGGGAGACGCTGTTCATGAGGACTACCCAGAGGATGTTGGGGAAGAGGATGCATTGGCCCATTTGCTTGTAGCATGTTAGGGCTTCTTTCCAGTTTGCGGGTGGATGCATGATGGTTAGAGTGTGTTTCCAGGTGCGTGCTTTGTAGTTGGTGAAGTCTAGTGGAACGCGGTTCTTGGTGGTTGCGTGAACGATGACTTGTTCTTCGCCGTCGTGGTGGACGTGCACTTCCCCTTCGAAGGCGTCGGTTGGTCGGTCGTAGCGGGATTCAGGGACGAGGGTGAATGCGCTGATGAAGACTAGCCCGCTGGCGATGGAGAATACCCCGTACCACCATCTCCAGCCCAGGCTGCTTACTAGGTAGGATGTCGCGATGGTGAGGGCGGCTGTGCCGATGGATTGGATCGCGCTGAACCAGGCGAGGCGGCTGCTGCGTTCGTGGACGAAGTGGATTTCCTGGTAACTTTGGTTAGGGTCTCCGGCTTGTGAAGTGTAAGGTGTAAGGGGTCGGTAATGGGGATGTACCTGGATAATAAGCGGACATAATGCCTCCGACTGCCCTGCTGCTAACGACAACACGTCTCTGCCCGCTATATGCGATCCAAGACTCGTGCTCGCAGCACACCAGATTGATCCCACGGTTAGAACCAATGCAGAGGCTAGGAATACTGGGCGTCTGCCGATTGCCATGGCGAGTGGCATAGCGATGACATTACCGATCCCCATGAAGAGGGTTGGGTAGGTCATTAGATCGTCGGTGTGGGGGTTGTAGTCGTAGTAGGATTGCATTAAAGTGACGAAGGGTCCCATTCCGGAGGTCATCAGGACGCCTAGGACGGAGACTGATATGACTGTGTTAGATGGTATCTTGGTATGTGCGAGAGATGAGGAACAGAGGCGTACACAATCCCAGCACGAACGTGATCACCCATTTTTGCCATTGAGGGTAGTTCAAGGGGTCTGTTCCCCTCTTCGTTAGCTATATAATCCTCACAAACAAAGTTTAAGGAAGTCAAACCTCTTGGATCTGGAGACGGCGTCGGAATCAACACTATTTCCCCATCCTCGACTAGTTTCACTGTGCCGGTTGGGTTACTGCCTTTGCCATGACGCTTTAGGGATTTGTCCATAGCAAGTTCATGGTGCGTTGCGTCGATATCCTTGTCATCCATATTGCTATGTGCAGACATGTGTCTTGTGCGTGTAGGAGCTGTGTCCTACCACAGTTTATCAATGAAAGACCAGGGAGGAATGGACTAAGGACCGCTTCCTCCCGGCCTTCATATGCTGTCCATCCTGACGCTATCCACTACCCCATGGGGTAAAACTTGTCTTCGTAATGGAGTCTAGTTCATTAGCCACATCGTGTCCGAGCGTGGAGTTGGCGTGAAAACGTGGAGCCGAAAGTATGTTTTGATGGAAGATGATGGTGAAGAAATGAAGGAACCAGCGAGATGGGAGAATCTCGCCCGAGCTCACCCGGGCGGAGGTGCGCGTGCCGCACGGCGGCAATGCACGATGTTGCCGTAACCGAATTGCGAATACTGTTCACATTGATAGCTCCCAGATAGGTGTTAGGTGTAATTGATGGGTTGGATATGGGTTGTTCAAGGTCGTGGAGAGGTTTGTGTGGTGCTACAGCTGGGTGTATATGCAGTGTTCTGCATAGTGGACACTTGTTTCGCATCCGATGGCTTACGATATGATCATAGTGCAGTCATAACAAAAGGAGTGAAATTGTAAGATAACTAATACTACAGGCTGCTAGTACGGCTTCACACCTGCCAACTGCAACAATCTCTCACTTCTCACCGGCTTGGTAAGAGGTTCGTCCCTCTCCAACGGATCCACAACTTCCTCCCCATCCACCTTCACCGTCGCCTTCCCATGTGTATACAAATTCGTGTGCGGCCAGTGTGTAGTTGTTTCATATGCCTCGAATAATTCCTTCTTCTTCTCCCGATCCTCCTCGCTCATCCATGCCGCCGGTGTATACGTAGCATAGACAATAGTGCGCACCAGATCCGAGGTCCCGAACTGAGCCCAGTGCATCTGTCTCGAGTCCCAGAGAATCAAGTCTCCAGGTTCAGCGCAGACCTTAATCAATTCACATCCACGCTCGCGGTACCAGTCCAGATCCTTGTCAGAGAAGGGGTGGAAATCCTTATGCTTGGCAGTGCGCCAGGGGGTGGGACCAGTAACGGGGTTCTCTTCGAAGAATTGGTCAAAGAGCGCCGCAGAACCCTTCATTACGATGAGTCCACCGTCGTCGGGGCCCGCGTTGGAGAGGTTAACGATACCCTGAACACAGACCAGACCTTTGCGCTCGGGCGCTTGGTCGCAGTGTGGCCAGGGCTGGGAGTCGTAGGTGCCTACGATGGATTGAGGGAGAGTAATGTTCACCGTGTCGAAGGAGACCACGAGCTCGTCGGTACCCCAAAGCTTAGCGAAGGGAGCAATCACGCCAGGCTCACTGTAGTCGTTCTTTAGCGAGATGAATCCCTAGAGAGAGAAGGAGAGAGGCGACTTACCATCGGACGTCCCAAACATATTTCTCGTGCGCAGCTGAGAAGTGCAGGTACATGCCACCCTTCCAGCTCTGTGGGAGGTTTTCCTTCTTCCAGGTGGACTTGTCGTTGCGGTCAAAGCCAAGGCCGAATGATTCAAGCCAGGTCAGGGCTTCGCTCTGGTATTCGCTAGCGCGTTCTTTGCTCAGCACGCCTTTGATAACAGTGTAACCGTCACGAAAGAAGTCATCACGAAAGTCACCATAGTGAGGCTGCTGTGTCTGGATGGACTGAAGCTTTCCCGGGGCAGGGGATGGGATGGGCTCCGGAGAGTCGACACGAGAGGGTGCCATGTTTAGAGCTCTTTTACTCGCAATTTGTTGACTTTGAGATATGAAGTATAGACTCCTCGGAAGGAAGAAAGAAACCGTACTTTGAGATTGAGCAGTTTCGGTGACGTCGAGGGCTTCGGCGGCCAGAGGAGCTTTCGCGCGCTTTTATCCTCCAACTGGATCTCCAGCCAGGTTAATTGACCCGAACTGATCCCTTACACACGGCCGAGCCCATCCTCATCCGAGATTTAAAACGCCACTCCCATGACCAAGTAACTGTAGTCGAACTCATAGATTGCCGAATGGTCAGCAGGTTCGAAACGAACATACAAACTCGCCCGAGCTCGGCCGTGCTGGGGGTATAGCCGCAACAACAACCCGACAACGCGCCATGTCCACAACCCGACAATCAGAGGAGAAAAGCAAAAGCCGACATTGATTTGTAAATTCACGCTTAGAACTCAGTAAAGGACACATAGTGGTGGGCGCGTGGCATTGTTCATAAGGGGCTCGGAAACTCTGCCATTGTCGTCTACACTGCGATCACTACTTTTCAATATGCCTTCTCCGGTACCTGTCGCGACTCGTCCAATTGACAAGCCCACCGTGGGCAGAAACAACTATCAGCCGTTTGGGCTTCGTGAAGAAGTCCTACCCAAGGGTTGGAACAAAGATGGCTCACGTCCTTTGCCATGCGACATCCATGCATCTCACGACGTGGGTATCCAGGTTCGCGATGGCAGCACATTATATTGCGACATCTATCGTCCTACAGACACCACCAAGCCTGTGCCCGCCATCTTAGCATGGAGCCCTTTTGGGAAGAAGTTCAATGGAATTAGCATGCTGAAGTTCCTCCCCTGGGGTCTAGGGATCCCTCAAGGCGTACTCAGCGGCTTGGAGAAATTCGAGGGCCCTGATCCAGCTGATTTCGTGCCTCGCGGCTTCGCAATCATCAACGTGGACGCCCGTGGGTCTGGCGATTCAGATGGCACAGTTGGCATCATGGGCACCCAGGAAGCCGAGGACGGGTACGACGTGATCGAGGCCGTGGCTAAGATGCCCTGGTGCAATGGAAATGTTGGCCTGGCAGGAAACTCACACTTGGCCATCGTTCAGTGGTTCATCGCTGCGTTGCAGCCGCCATCACTAAAGGCTATTGCTCCTTGGGAGGCCTGTGGTGACCTCTATCGAGAGCAATTTGTACGAGGTGGCGTCTTCGATGCTGGCTTGTTTGATTTCATCATCGATCATAACATCCAGGGTCACGGGGGTGTGGAAGACTTTCACGAGATGTATCGCCGATATCCATATGCGAACAGCGCATACTGGAAAGATAAACGACCGGACCTCAGCCAAATCAGCATACCCGCCTATATTACTGCGTCGCACACGAGTTTCGTGCACACGATGGGATCACTGCGCGGATGGCTCCAGACTCAGTCGTCCGATAAATGGCTGCGACTTTGTCCATGGCAGGAGTGGTACGATATCTGGAATTGCAAAGAATCGGCTTCTGAGCTCGCATCCTTTTTCGATCGCTATCTGAATGGCACCGACAATGGATGGGAAAAAACACCCAGGGTACGGACTACCATGTTGCGATTCAATCAAGATCCGCTATACAACATCGCAGAGGAGGACTACCCGATTCCACGCACCCAGTATCGCAAGATGTACTTTCACCCAGAAGGCCGTCTCAGCCACGACGCTCCCAGCACGGCTTCATCGGTGTCATACAACTCAGAGAAATACCAAGACTGTGCGAGCTTCACCCACACTTTCACCAGTCGAACAAGGTTAGCGGGTATTCCCAAAGCAGTAGTGTACATGTCGTGTCCAGACTTTCATGACCTCGACGTATATGTTTTGATCAGGAAGCTTGACGCGCAAGGAAAGGCTCTGCTCAATCTCAACATTCCGTGGTCATCAATAGCGAAATTTGGTGTCAGCCCAGACAGTGTTGACAGCATTTCTCCTCGGGAGAAGAACAATCTCATGTTCCATGTCGGGTCCTTGGGGATCTTGCGGGCTTCACGTCGAGCCATTGATCCGACCAGGTCAATTCATGAGAACTTCCCCTTTCACCCACATGACCGCGACGAGTACATCACTCCTGGAGACATTGTGAAGCTCGAGATCGGCATATGGGCGATGGGAGTGGAGTATGAGGCAGGGGAAAGCGTACGCGTCGAAGTGCATGGAAACAGTCCATTGCTGCGGGGAGAGTTCAAGGAAGACGGGGAATTCCAGGAACTGGCATCACATGGAACACACGTGCTTCATTTAGGGGGTGAATATTCTTCGCATATCGTTCTGCCATTCGTATGACCGGGCATGGTGCGTCAACTACAGCAACTTAGATAATTAGACAGGTAACTTGACTTGCAGATAACCAAGCTACTATCACGCATGTATTGTTATCAAATCTTTCTGAATTTGTTGTTTCCTAACTAATAAACGTGGCCTGGGACGATGCAGTAGAGCCCAATCATAGGCGCCATCAGCACCAATAAGGGTCATAAAGCACCGCCGCTTCCCCACGTATAACACCACCAAGTAATGTGTGAATCAGAGATGCCTTAATCGCGTCCGTTAAGTAACAAGGTTGGTGTGCCGAACGCCTATTTCATCCCACTCTCAACCAGAACCCATCAGCCCTTTAGCCCCGAAAGGAGAGCCAGAAGGGCTCCAGGAAGAGAGATGGGTTCATATAGAACACACTAGGCTTTCATCATCTGGAGTATGATGTTAGTAAAAGGCATATTGGGAGTCAAAAGTCAAAGGTAGCACTCACTTTTACAAAACTTGGAAGGATGAAGAAAGAAGAAATGACGGCGCCGGAAATTTTGCTTTTAATTGGCAGTGTGGAGGGCGCTAGGCCTGTCATAGAAGGCGGCGTACCATATTCTGCCCAGAATCTCCGCCCGGCGGTGCCTGGCAATTTCCCAATTGCCCGATTAGTTCATCGGCCATTTGAAGGCATCGTGCCATTGCATCCCCGCCCTAGGACAATTGGAATATTTGTGACTGTCCTCAATTGCGTCATTTTTGATTCTCGGGCTGGTTTACGCAGCAAGATGTATCTAGCCAGGGCGGTCCGATGCCCCCCTCACCTCCGCGCGACCTACGTGGAGATCTCCAACTACTTCCGCGGCAGGCAACTTGGTCGCCTTTCAGCGTTGCAAGCTCACAGCTCCCCCGTACGATCATTCCATGAATTCAGTGAAAAGCACCGCTCCAATGTGACCTCGTCGGAGTTTCTAGATAAGTTCAAGCAGTCGAGTTCGTCACCCTGCCGACCAATGCACACCCTCCGGCATTTCCAGCTCATACAAGCAAGTTGCAATCGGGAAATGCTAACATCCCGTCTTCAAAGTGGAATTCCCCCAAACGCCCTTGGACATCGACACTCTGTACTCTTATGATCACGAAGGTCAATCTGTACTCCTCCACGGCTACCTGGACAAGCGCGACGACATGGGGAAAGAGCTCTCATTCGCCCGCTTCTACGACCACACAATGGGTCGTACCATACAGCTTCTCTCAAACTCACAAAGCAATACACTGCCTCAGCTGAAGAAGATTAGTCGGGGTAGTCCAGTGGTTGTTCAAGGGACAGTTAAGCGGAGGGTTACAAAGACTGCCGACGAGGAGCGCAACGATTACTTGGAGATCGCGCTGGAATCGATTCAACCCCTAAACGAATTTCCCCGTGAGATCGTGCTCTTCGGAAAGAACATCGTTCACCCCCCTAAGCATCGCCATCTTCAACTGAGAAGCGATAAAGAGCTGCGCGATGCTCTCCGGTTCCGTGCGCAAGCGCGCAATGTCTGCCGGGAGACGCTGGAACAGCTGAAGCCAGCCTTTGTTGAGATAGAGACACCTTTGCTGTTCAAGTCGACTCCGGAGGGTGCTCGTGAATTCATCGTGCCGACCAGGAAGAAGGGAAAGGCCTATGCCCTTCCTCAGAGTCCGCAGCAATACAAGCAGATTCTCATGGCCAGTGGAATCCCGAGATACTTCCAGTTCGCGCGCTGCTTCCGTGACGAAGACCTTCGCGCCGATAGACAACCGGAGTTTACTCAGGTATGGTCCCAATGAAACTACACAAGTAGCCTGCTGACTGAAAACCCTAGCTGGATCTGGAAATGGCATTCGCTGCTGGACAAGATGTCATGGCCGTTGTTGAGGAACTTATCCGGGGTCTGTGGGGGAACATGATGCCTGAACCAGTCCCTTCAGGCCCATTCCGTCGCATGACCTACCAGGAGGCAATGACTCGGTATGGTTCGGACAAGCCGGATACCCGACATGGAATGGAAATTCATCGTGTCGAGCACCTCCTGCCTGCCGACCTTGTGTCGAAGATCACTCCTCTGACCGATCCAATCGTTGAAGCATTCAAGATGGATACCGTCGAGCAGCTACCGTCAGCAACTCGCGAATTCGTTTCACGTTTCTTCGACTCCACAGAGGGCGAGCCATTCAACAAGAACCCTGATGGTGCACCAGGAATCTTCATCTACGACGAAGGACAGCCCCTAAAGGGTTTGGGACCCCTCGGATTCGAAGCAGCCGAAAAGATCCAAGAGATGCTAGATCTCAGTCATGGCGATCTGCTCATTCTTCAAGCTCGCCCTCAGGCCCCCTTTGCAGGCGGCGCAACCCAACTGGGCAGCATCCGTCGCGCCATGGCCGCCGCCTCCATCGCCGAGGATCTCAGAGAAGCGCCCCCGGGCTTCGAGTTCCTCTGGATAGTCGACTTCCCTCTTTTCAGCCCTACGGATGCCTCCGAACCCGGCCAAGGCGGTACAGCCGGCCTCTCCGCCACCCATCACCCCTTCACGGCCCCGAAGACCTCTTCGGACGTCGACCTTCTCAGCAAGGACCCCACTAAAGCCCTCGCAGACCACTACGACCTCGTTGTCAACGGCGTTGAACTCGGCGGCGGTAGTCGCCGTATCCACTGCGCCTTGACCCAGAACTACATCTTCAAGGAAATCCTCAAGATGCCCAAGGAGCGCATCGATGAGTTCCAGCATCTCCTCAATGCCCTATGGGCTGGCTGTCCCCCGCACGCTGGGTTCGCGCTCGGCTTCGATCGACTCATCACTGTCATGTTGGGCAAGGAGTCGGTCAGGGATGTCATTGCATTCCCTAAGATCGGGAAGAAGGGCGAGGATGCGATGGTGAAGGCGCCTGGTAAGATTAGTGAGGAGGTGGCGAGGTTGTATAATATTAAGTTGAAGTGATGTTGTGGTAATGTATCGGGTGTATGTATGTATTTTATAGATAACTCTTGTATGATAGATAGATTAACGGTTCTTCACTCTCTGTATCTATTATGTTCCCTAGAATACAGAGGTCCCGATTGGTGATCCCCACGGGCTGACATACAACAGCAAATGTGTCTCTTAGATAAAAGACAGGGGTGATGTAAAAGAATACGGGAGAAAGCCGAGCACAAACACATGGAGTTCGAAGAAAGTAATTCAAAGTAGTTGCTGTTATACAAAACGCCGACCAAAACGGGAATCTAATACATCCATGAAATATATAGAAATCAATGGTGAGTGATGGGGAGGTCGCTATAGCCTCCCTCTTTTTCTATGTTTTTTTTCTCTCTTTCTCTCTCTCATTCATTTAATTTCGGTCGAAACAGAAAGTCGGTCAGACCGCACGAGTCGCCACTGACTTGGAACGCGAGGCAGCCATAGCAGCACCAGTACCTTCCTCTTCCTCATCGACATACACATACTCATCCTCTAGCTCATCCGGCTGTCCGAAAATCTGACGCCATACACCATCCCAAAGGCCCTTCTTAGTGACGAGACCACCCACCAGTAGAACTGGGAGCTGCCAGATACTGGCCCAGAAGAGGCCTCTCGCCGTGCCGTTGGCGCCCTGGTGCTTCCAGAAATGGTATGCCTCCTTCACCAACCACGCATTGGCGACTGAACTGCTAACCAAGAATCCGTGGCCGACGACGCCAACCCACCAGAGGCCAATGGAGATGGGGAACATGAGGACGGAATAGCGCAGCGCAACGCGGGCGTTCATAGCGGGGTTCTTCCAGCAGAGCATCTTGTAGCCGGCGCGCTTGTACTCCTCGCGGATGGTGTGAGACAAGGCGTTGAAGTGGGGGAATTGCCAGGCAAACAGGATACCGCCCAGGAGCCAACCACCGATGCTGTCTTGGCTGAAGAGCATGTCGCGCCAGGTATCGTGGCCTGTGGTAGCGGTTTGGCCGGCAGCAGCGACCCAGCCCATCAATGGGGGAATACCGCCTACAATGGCGCCGACCCATGTGTTGATGACGTGAATACGCTTGAGCGGGGTGTAGATGAAGCCGTATAGGATGATGTTGCTGGCTGAGAGGGCCGCGACGGTGGGGTTGGTGCCGAAGTAGAGCATGCCTACACCAGCGAGGGCTGTCGCGAGAGCGAAGAGTGCGGCCGCGCGGCGGGAAAGGAGACCACGAACGAGAGGCCGGTTGCGGGTGCGCGACATGAGAGCATCGTACTTCGGCTCCAGAAACATGTTGATGGTGTTGGCGCTGCAGCTGGAGAGGAAGGTGCCCGCCGTCAGGTAGAGGAAGGTTAGGGTTGAGGTGGAGAGGGTCGGTAACGGGGTCATAGACGGGTCAAGCGTGAGGAGAGACGAGATCGGATACAGGCCATAGGCGGAGGTTGTGCTCAGCACGATGAGGACGGAGAGACGAGGCTTGCAGAGGGCGAGGAAAGCCGCCATCTTACGGCGGAGGGAAGAGGTGGGCTGAGCGGAAGAGAAGGCGGATAGCTGTGCGGAGGCATCGGGGGGGATGACATGTTCAGGATCGGCGGCTTGGGCATTCGCTTCTTCCTTTAAACGCTTCCTCCGGCGATGAGGGAGCTCTGGTTGTGTGGATTCGGGAGCAGACGTAGAGGCATTGACGCGGTGGTCTGATGGGAGAGTAGAGGATGTCGCGCTAGAGACATTGCCGCCGGAAAGCGAAGAGACAATGTCACCCTTGCTCGGAGTGCTGTCTTCTGCGCGATTGGCCGAGAAATAAGTCTTATTTAATGCCGACTGGGCAGATTGGCCATCTGCAATGCCCGAGTGGGATCGAAAGGACGAGGTGAAGGTGCGGAGAGCGGCGGGGAAGGTTCGAGGGGTCCGATTTCGATGTAGAAGACATTGAGAGCATATCCTGCTAGGATCGCCTGGCGACCCTATCCTCCGCAACGAGGAGCGAAGGAGACTCATGGCGGAGTCCTGCTGTGGTACTGGTCGACCAAGAATCCGTATCCAAGCAGCGGAAGTTGAAGCTCAAGCCGCAAGACGAAGAAAAGCCGCGGTGGACGGGAGCGACCAAACCCGCAATTCCGGAGATGTGTTGGTTCTTTGTTGGTCTTTTTTGGTTGTCCTTGCGTCGTCCGCTTCTTTTCTACTCAACCACCTCCCCGCTGACTTCGCCGGACGTCCTGCTTCAATCCCACGGTCCCTATCTCCAGTCAACATGGACGCGATCCAGAAAACCATCGTCGACCCCCTCCAACCTCTCCTCCGCCCCGTCGTTTCGGCCCTCCCCGAACCGGTTCACGATGCGATCGTTTCGCTGATCGGCTCCTCCTGCCACAACAGCCTCGTGGTTGATCTTGACGTGAGCAAGGATCCGGCCTGCACCTCCCTTGCAATCTCGAAGGCTCTCGGTATTGCCATCGTCGGAGCTAGCGGCATCGTCAAGGTGCCCCAGATCCTCAAGCTCATCAGCTCCCGCTCCTCTGCTGGTGTTTCCTTCGTTTCGTACGCCCTCGAGACCGCCAGTCTTTTGATTACGCTTTCGTACAGCGTGCGCAACCAGTTTCCCTTCAGCACCTTTGGCGAGACGGCTTTGATTGCGGTACAAGATGTGGTAGTGGGTGTGCTGGTGTTGACATTTGCGGGTCGGTCTGCTGCGGCGGCGGCGTTCATTGCCGTCGTGGCGGCCAGCGTGTATGCACTGCTCTTCGACCAGACCCTGGTGGATGCGCAGACAATGTCTATGTTGCAGGCTGGAGCTGGAGCTTTGGGTGTGGCAAGCAAGGCGCCTCAAATCTATACCATCTGGCGTGAAGGTGGCACTGGCCAGCTGAGTGCTTTTGCGGTAGGTGCACCTCGTTACTTGTCGGTAATCGTTTACTAACGCATGGTTAGGTCTTCAACTACCTCGCTGGTTCCCTCTCTCGCATCTTCACCACACTCCAGGAGGTCGACGACAAGCTGATTCTGTACGGCTTCATTGCCGGGTTCACTCTCAACCTCATCCTGGCCGGCCAGATGCTGTACTACTGGAACAGCCCGGCCAAGTCCCAGAAGAAGAAGCCCGTTGCAGCACCTACTCCCGTGAAGGCGCCAGTCACCGCCACCAGCTCGGGTGTGTCACCCAAGCCTTCAGGCAAGACGCCCACTACTCGGCGCCGGGGCTAGTCACCTTTTTGGTTACTTTGCACCAATTCTCTTATAGAAATCTTTAATCATTTTTCCCTGCTACAAGCATTGCAACGTATTAGACATCACCGCTGTCCCGGAACAGCCCCCGTAGTCATAAACCTCAGAATCTCATCCAACGGTACCACCGGCGCAACCACCTTAGCCCCCGCACCAGCAGCATTAGCCCCAGACCCAGTATTCGCAGCAGCAATATCAAACTCCAACCCAGTTCCAGCCCCAGACCTCCTCCTCACCCCGACAACCTCCATCTCATCTGCCTCGCCCTCACCCTCTTCACTATCACTCTCATCCTCATCATCATCCTCCAATACCCTACTCAACCCCGTAACCACCTTCTCAATCCCCATCTCCCGCTCCTCCAACGTATAGTTCCCACCCCAATTCCTCTTCCTAGCCTCCTCATTCGCCGCGACAGGCGCCCAGTCCCACAATTCAGCAATCGCATCATCACTCAGCAACCCCTGTCCACTGTTCGTCTGGTATTGTCCCAACGCTCCAGCCCCAGTATCGGAAGCAGTAGTCGGCGCCCCGGCGCGACGACCACGCGCTACCCAGTCCTCAACGCGGGGGTCTAGTTTCGTGCGCAGAACTTGCTCCAGAGCGACATTGTTGGTGGGGACGCGCGACGGGTAGGATGCGTCGGGGTATGCGACGATGTTGGATAGGAGGTCGCGATTATCGGAGAGGTGGTCGGAGATGGTGAGGAGGTTGTTGGAAATGATGGTTGCTTGGGATTGGAGGGATGTCCTGAAAATGTCATTGTATGAGTGGATTTGATCTAGCCGGGTTGTATAGAGGCAGCATTGGGAGGGGTGTATACCATGAGGGGAGGGGATCGCTTTGATTGAGACTGGTTATGAGAGAGGCGAGCGAGTGGGTGAGTTGGATGAGTCGTTGGCGGGATTGTTCGAGGGTTTTGATCTGGTCTGGGTTGAGAGAGGTCATTTTGTTCGTGTGAGGAAGGAAGGGGCAGCTTGGAGAGGTGTGGTGGTGATATTGAGGGTTGATTTGATTGGAGATGGAGATCGGCGACAAACAATGAAGCAGGTGGGCATTGAGCTACCTGATTGGAATGGCGGAGATGTCCGCGGAGAGGGTTGGTGCCTGAGGTGTCGAGCAATTAGGTGTGTTTACTCGATCTATGTTTCTACATTGGAACCTTGGATGTTCAGGTTCCTCGCCAGAGAGGATCCCCCAGCAGCTTGGACTACCACCTGTTTAATTTCTTTTCAATATTCAATTTGGTGATCAAGATGGGTTCTGATTAGGCGTTTCAGTATCTTCGATCTACGTTGATGATGTCCCGCTTAACAGGATAGGTATATACATTAGGTGGAATCATCTCCAGCCTCGTTACTTGCCAACTCTCTCGGACCTATCTTCCCTTCCTGGTATTATATTTTAGCTACATTTGACATGAAAGGCATACGAAATTTCAGTGCCATAAACTGCTCCTTCACTAGGCAATCTCCGTTCACCGGTTATATATATATTTGACGCTATCATGTTCCTCTCTTCAACTGCCCAATTTGACTAATCCTCCACCTTCTACAGAACTCGAATCATCTCCAATGAGTCATTCCTCTAGAACAGTACGCCTCCAATGGAGCACCGAATTCAACAATTCTGACCGCCAGTCAAAGGCATTCCCTGAGGCTCAAAGCCTTGAAGTCCAGAATCCACACTGTTGTCCGGGAAAATCCCAATAGAAGCAAACCCGAAAGTCGCATGGTTGGCCTGGTCATACATCTGGACGGACAGCACGTTGCCCTCATTCCACTTTGTACCTGCAAAACACTCAACCTGGCTTTCGATTTGGCCAAAGGCATCGGCTCCATTGAAAGTGATATCGCCCGGGTCGGCGCTAGAGGCATCAGAATCAAACCGACCCTCCATCAAATGCTCGTTAAGCCGCTCATGCTTGTAGAACTCGTCACGTTTCTCCTGGGTCGCATGGTGGGTGGGATGGCCTGCGTACGAGATGGTAAAGTGCACACCACCTTCGCCGGTATCACGAGAGGTGAGCTCCATTGGGCCATATTTGTGGTGGTTAAAACGGAACATTGGCGCAAAGGGATGAACACTGGAGTCACGGCGGGCCAACTTATGAGAGTCGGGTGCGTACCCGACGAAGTCCACTTCGTCTGTTGACAGGCTGCGCAAAGCGTTATGAACGAAGTGGTTGTGGGCCTTTTGTGAAGTCATGTTTCTCGCGGGCAGGCTGTCCAGGTCTCGCGAAAAGGTTTGCAGGTCAATCTGTTCGAGACCGGACTGCAGCCAGGCATTTGCGGCGACCCCCAAGTACCCTTTCGACTCAGCGAACTTCTTGGCTGCGGACACCTCACCACCCACACCAATGATGGTGCTGAGGAGTCCAGTGATGCAGTAGAAGATATTGTCGGCTTGGCCCTCGTTTTGAACGCAGGTATTGATGGTGCTTGCCAGGCCAGCACCGGTGAGAACGAGGTTGAAGGCATGCCATGCTAGACCGATGGCCCAAGGAGCCACTACTAGAGCAACGTCGTCCGTCGTTCTCACTTCGGCGCCGGTGGTCATTGCTAGTTCCTGGATGTGTTCCGCGGTGCCATTATGGTTCAGATAGAGACCCTTCCAGTTTTCCCGTGGGCCTGGGTCCAGGGCACTCCAGTTGAAGCTCTCTGGGGTCCACTTATCCACAACAGCAACTGCGCAAGTTGCAAGGCCAAGGACAACTAGGGGAGACAGAGGGGTCCCAAAAAGACTAATTCGAACCATTTTGTCAAGGTTTGTCGAGACTGCGATACACGAAGAGAAGTATGATTATTTTGTTGCTTGTTGTTCTGATGCTGGCGAAAATTCCCTCGAGGAGGAGGCCCAATTTATGTCTTGAGCCTGAAATCCACTGCAACTCAATCTATCCCTCATAGCGCAGATTCCCATGTATCCATGCTCAGATGAACGCAGAAATGAGTCCTGCTCCTGCAGCTTCGCAGCCCTCAAGATGACCAACACGGGCTATGCACAGATCACCAGAATTCTGATGTAACGCTTTGGGAAATGGTGCTTCCTTCGACAAGGAGAACTTTGGCCAGGAAGACACGCCCTGCGGCGAGTGTTTAGCAGCCAACGGTATCTTGACGGCCTGCAATGATCTATCCCGGACTCTTTGGTATCAAACTTGGCAGTTCGACAAGAGCACGGCAATCTGTCCTATCACAAACAATGCAGCTGTTCAGGTTAATCTTGGCCTAATCACCACTCCACATGAACGACGGCTTCCAACCTGATATAATCCTTGCAATGTAAGCTTCGATCCTAGAACATGGCCATACAGATGACAATCAGAATGTTGGGATGGGGCCATTGAGGCTAGAAGGAATATCGAAAGTCATCAATGTTCATCACAACGAATGATGATGACCGTCTTATTAGCGAACCCTAAATACTTACAGATAGATGGGTTGGATCATCCGTATTCGAATCGACGGCCAAAGCTCGCCTGAGGAGTCCAAGGAACAAGTGTAGGAGTGGTACATGAGTTGTCGATTGGTCAATTTGATATGCTGAAGTATCTTGATCAATCTCGACGAACCAGTGGATCCTTGTCAGCAGGACCTCCACAGAAGGATTGCATTAGAAATGCAGGGTCTTGGAAGTCGGAAGAGGGCATCCGCAATCCTGATGTCGGTATACCTTCCTTTACTGGCAATCATATTTTGGCATAACACCTCGTGAGCTACACTCGGAGAGTGATGGTTTCCAGTCTGGTCCATTTTGTGCTGCGGTCGCAAGCGTACATGCACGGAAACATGGACCTCAAAGTGACAGCCTACAGATCAGATACAACACCGATGCCACACCAGTGTCCAATATCTCTCTTGATGTCACAAATCACAAACAGATTTTGCCTTGCGTCGTTCCTTTCTCTCACCACGTGTTGGTGGAGCTATACTTCTGAAGGTATGCGTTAATTGACTGTTCCAATGCACGCTCCTCAGGTCCACTGTGCCCACATGATGAATCCTCAGGTGGGCCACAGGGCGTCAGCAATGAGATGGCCTGGTGCGGTTGTCGAAGTCTCACAGTTTCACATGAGTTATTTTTCGGTTCTTATTACATCTCCTTAACCGAGCAGCTAAGCCCTACCAACACAGTAAGACGGTTCGCATGGACGGCCGAGCCACTAAAACAAGAAATGTGTGAGTAGTGGACTTCACAGGATTTGGGGGTGTTTGATGGACTTCATTAGTGCTGAATCATACGATGAGGAGGCTTCGAAATCGGAACTTCCTTGTCCAGCTAAGCCGAGCAGCCATATTCTCTGACAAATTCCACCGCAGTATCATCAGGCTAGAATGTGACAGGAACGCGTTGATTGAACTAACCTTCATAGTAAAGATCAACAAACGTAACTGGCAGAAATGGGCAATATTCACCATCCAAGGCCCTCCTTGGAACAGCCTTATGAGGGGTCTGAGTCAGATATGGAGAAGATGTCATCATAGTACTTCAGTAAGCGCCCAGGGATCAGCTATGCGGACCGTGATAGGCGGATACCCATTACGCCAGGGTCTTAGTACTATTATCCCCGGTCTTGGTAGCGGAGCCTTGTGTCTCAAAACCCAGTGACACCGTTCACATCCTATCTTTCCATGTTCTGGCCATAACGCAAGACACCATGGTTGTTGATCCGGAGAAGACCGCGGCTGGAGATGCCTCCGAGGCCACACCGTTGCTGCAGAAGACGGCACCTATCGTGTCTCCGCAGGCATGTTACCAACATCAACTACTGCTCAGATGTTTCTTGGACTTGAAGAGGAAAATTTCGAAAATGACAGGACTATATAAGAAGGAGTATGACTACGACATCAAATCCGAAGTAGACCCGATAGCTCGACAAGCCACGTTGGAGGAGCGCCGATGGTCAATCTATATATCACGGGCTGTTCATCGATTTTCCGTTTGGTGGGCTCAATTACCCGCAGATTTGGAGATGG